CTACCTTATCAGTTGTTACAAACATCGGTGGCGTCAAGAATGACAAAAACTGCTTCACCCATTATCTGACAATCGCTATCTTAGGAGGATTGTTGTTTATGTTATCAATCATCCTTGCTGTGGTTTTGATACTGCTACGGAAGAGACAAAGTGAGATAGATACTTGGATTTTATTCGAATTTCATTTGCAAATCTAACACTAATTTTAGCCCGCTTTGTCATCTTGGTCATCTAAGGGCAGACTTGATTAAAAAAAAAAAAATCTAACTAGGTAGTTAGATCTTATTGGCATTTCAGTTAAAACTTAACTTTAATCTCTAGTCCCACTATTATCCTGGTAATCTAGGGGCAGACTTGATATAAAAAATTCAAGAGATGCTTAAAATCAAACGAACAAGTTGACCACTTTCAAAGTTTAAGTGGTGAGTTTAGGATTAGAAAAACACGAGTTGAGGCAAATACAAAAAAATATACCCTATTTTTCTTAGGCGTTCTGTAATCAAATACTATGATGCCTTTGAAGATCGACTGATTCTCCAAAAATAACACCTAATTAGAGAACAATAAAATTACGCTATGCCAAATCGAAAAAATATCAATCAAGACGCCCCAAAGAAGATAGTGAATAATTCTAGGTAAGCTGGGGGTCTTATTGAGGTGATGGCTTTTACGGCTGAGGGTTAACATTATTCCTTCGTTTTCACCAGAAATTTAGGGTTAACTCTCTTTACGACTATCGCTTGAAATTTTTCAATTTTTGCAAGTAACGCCTAAATTTTTTAGCCGTGTTACAGCTATCGTTAAACGCCATTGAGATTCTCTAAGCTTTGCCACGCCTTCTTGGCTGGTCAAGTTATTCAACCTACATGTCTGTTGAAGCCTGACTTCAACTTTTACATGAGCCCAAATTTTAACTCTTCGGAGGAAATAAAAATATATTTTTTTTCCTGTCTGTTTGTTTTCGTTTTTGTTTTGTGTTGTTTCAGTTTAAATTTTCTTTTTATTTTGGTCTCTGCTGATGGTATTTGATTTTATTCAACAGATGTAATAAAAGAAACTGTTATAAAGTAAGTAGCCCCCTTTTCGCCTGTTTTAATTTTTTATTTATTCATTCTGATGTAAATCTAATATGCGATTGGTTTGATCCAGGAGAGCAAAAAAGGCATCTCACCGCGCGGTAAGAATGATAACTTTCCAATGTTTTTAAAAGTGACAAAAGCTAACAGCACAGAAAAACTCTCCAGTATGTTATTCCAGATTGAAATGACCCCCTCTTGCAATCAGTGTAAGGTGACACCTTCAGACTCGCCTTCTGCATGTTAGTGGAGTGTTAAGACGTAGTTACAAATGATTCCGAGAGAAAGCCGTTCCTTGTCCTCCCCTCTGTCTAGTCACAGAGACTTGGTCTCATAAGGTAGCAAGGCTAATGCAGCTTTGAAAGACACTTTAAATAGGCCACTACATTGTTTATTTGTATGCTGTCATTTGTATGCAGACAGGAATCAACATGGCCTCAGAGAAAGCTTGCCGTTGAATGCTTTGAATGTCGGTGCCCAGCTTAGCTTAGCGGCGGGAAGTAAGAGAAACCAAAGTGAGCTGTCTGTCAAACAGGAGGGTGTATATACCGCGCTGTGCTCAGAGTCAGTGATGGTAATTACACAACCAAAGAGATTAGAATTACCCAAACTGAATGTTATAACTAGAAGTATAATTGACGACTGTCTAATTTCACTTGGCAACGTTTATGGTTTCTTTCAAATTTTTTCATTGTATTTACGAGTTCAGTCGTGTTTTCAAGCATTAATAGTTTTGAAAGGACTCAAGAGCAGGTTTCGATAACCATGCACACCTACTAAGTCAATAGTACCATCGTGTATCTAAGGTCTACCACTGAATATTTTGCAGACCTCTGATGACGATGGGTCCCGAACGTACGCTTCCCTTGTGAAATCAAAGGATGAAGACAACGACATTGAATATGAGAATCAAATATCTGTTCTTGAGTATATTAATGCTTAAGTGTATTGTTCATAAGACGGGTAGCGTTAATCCGTAAAAGGCAGAGGTGAACGAAATATCGATAGTGTGTGTCTTTGCAAAGCCATAGAGGAAAACACAACAATTTCCATTGACATTGGGATAGTTTAATAGTGGTTTGAGCAACCCTGTCCTTGAAATATGTTCTATGTAGACGAAAAGTAAACTATGCTTTTAGCTCGTCTAGGCAATCTCATCTGTTCACGCTATCGCTTAATTAGAGCTTGTCGCAGTCTCGCCATTAAAATGAATAAAATGTAATAATAACAATGATAATATTAGGTGATTGATTGTGATCTATTCTTACTGTACTACGTAGTTAATCATAATTAATTATTTGATAGGATCATGTGTGAATTTTTTTCTCCACCATTTTACAAACACTTAAGTAAAGGTGATTGATCTGTATTTCTGTCTCTCGGTGAATGTCATATTTCAGTATCTCTTTATCAATTTTGTACTCAACCTTGCTCAGAGTTCTTACTTCATGTGACTGACTTTGATTGTATGACGTTAGATTATAGGATGAATATGACTAATGAAACAGTAAAACGCACTGAAATCTGCGCTTTTTTACTGTTTTATTTTATTACCTTTTTATTATTTTTTATTGTTTAATTATTAATGCTTTTTAATTGGGGGAGGGGGGATTAATTAAACAAAAAAAAGACTGGTACTCGTTGACATACTTTCTTAAATCTAGAGATATCTACCACGACAGTCGTACTGGAGGAACTCAAAGAGTCATGGCTTTAACGGCCAACGGTCAGTTAAAATTCTGACCAATTAGCAGCTACAGGTTTAAAACTTTCCATTGCTTTCACCAGAATTGTTTTCCTTTTTTTTTTTTTTTATTTTTAAGTTACCCTCCTGTACGACAAACTATTAAGGTTTATCATTTTTAACGCCTAATGGCTAAGATTCCTCATTTCATACTTCTTTAGCAATGCAACACCACAGATGTAGATACATAAGACACATAAAAAAGTATAACATAAGGACATGTCCCCCCCAAAGATCAAAACTCGTCTAAATTACTTCTAAGGGTAACAAGGAGGTTGAATTATGAAAAACTGAACTTAGTCTAAAAAAAAAAAAAAGGGAAAAAAGTGCCATACTAGGAATACTTAAGCTTAGTGATGTTAAATCGTTCTACAGAGCTGGTCACACGTTTACATGCACTTCCCAGTTTATTATATGACCCTTGGATACAACCCAGATGGGGCTTGTTTACTGATTGAGTTATGATATATCACACAGTTATCTCATGCGTAGGAAATTAACGTATCCTATCCCTAACCCCGCAGGAGACGGGACCTCCATTTATTCGTCCCTATCCGAGAAGACTAGAGAATCTAACCATTTCTTGATATAGGAAGGTTGCATACTCTTCTCACTTGTTTTAAGACTTTGAGTGTTGGTCTGGCCGGGGCTCGAACCCTCGACCTCCTCCACAACAGGCCAGCGCTCTATCCCATGAGCTAAGTGGGAGTTAGCTTCCTCCCAAGTCCCTCCTTGAGTAGGGGTTATTGCGTCGATATCGTTGTGGTCGTTTAAGCTCAACAATGCACCCATGCTTTATCTGAAATAAACAAACACTTTGCTTCTCCTTTAATTATAAGAAGAGCTGAAAGTGGAAATTGGTGTTGTTTCCCTCATGCTAAATTTCCCTAATTTATTTGGCTTATTCTTGATTAAAGACAACTTGTTATCAATCTATTTTACCATTTCCTTGACCCGTGAGCCTGCGCCAAACTTCCTCCCAAGTCACACCTTGAGGAATCTTGTGAAAAAAAAAAAACAAACAAACAAAAAATAAAAGAACACTCGTGATGATGGAAACAGAGCAGGAATGGCATGCTTATTACAATTGAGATTCAAAATAAAACAGGCAACTTACGTGTGAATGGTATATTGGCTTGAAACGAAATTTAACAACGCCGAGATGGACTTGGATCAATGATAAACCTTTGACTATTGACAAATGGCTTGCAGTGGGCAGAAATCCTGACCAAAGCGAGTCTTACTGGTTAATTCATGGGGAGTATCCAGCTGGAGCTAAAGGATCATTTAGCACAATTAAGAGGGGCATACCAAGAGGATGGATTTGCGAGGAAGAAACAGGTATTGATCAGTACCAGAAAAAGTAAAATATTAGCTGCATGTATCAAACTTTGATTTTCATGCACAGCTTTGAATTTCTATAAGCTAATCTTACCCTCCCTTTTCCTTCCTTTATCTTTCCTATCTCCACCCTGCCCACTGATAGCTCATCACCATAATGGGAGCAAACCGCTTAGTCTTAGCCGTAAATGTACTCAAAAGCTTTCTGGATTATAGGGACGTGACACTTTTCCGTAATTGCGATATTACTCGACAAACGCATGGTGGCAGTGTGGCAGTAGTTATGTTTCTTCACTAGCTAGTTGTCGAGGAATTTGTTTCCCCGATCCGGTTCCAGCAAGCACAATTCCTCCTGAAACATTAACTGAAAATAAAGCTGTTACCGCACAACGCAAGAAGACAACTGAACAGGATATCACTGCTGTATCAGGGAGGATCAACGATCAGTAGTAGTTTGAGTGTATGAAGGTGAGCATCATCCATTAAATGCTGGATTTGCGTGCTTTGTATTGATTTTTTTCTTCGAGAGTTTTGTGGTTGTTTTGTTTGCCTGCTCGTTTGCTCTTTACGTGAGAAACAAATTTTTCTTTGTTTTTGACGATAATTTCTGTTAAAGTATTCCGTTATAAAAGCGAGAGGGACCTAAAGTCAATACTCTATGTTTTCAAAACTAAGAATTTGAAACGCTTTAAATCCAGGGTCTGACCTGATTCCTACTACGGCAAAGTCAACAGAAAAAGTTCAGCGGAGATCTGTTCTTCTTGTGGATAAGTTTTTAAATCCCTACAAACCTAGTAACCCACAGGAATTCTCTATACGGAGGACAACCTAATTGTCAGCTTGTTTTCTTTATTTTTTTCGCTTTTTTGTTTTTGTTATTTTTGTTGTTCTTGTTTTGTTTTTCTTGTTGTTGTCGTTATTTTTTTGTTTTGTTGTGTTGTGTTTTGTTTTGTTTTATTTTTTGTTTTGTTGCTGTTGCTGTTGATGGTGTTTTTTTTTTGTTTGTTTTTTGTTTTGTTTTTGTTTTATTTTGCTTTTTGTTTTGTTTTGCTTTTGTTTTGTTTTGCTTTTTGTTTTGTTTTGCTTTTTGTTTTGTTTTGCTTTTTGTTTTGTTTTGCTTTTTGTTTTGTGTTGCTTTTTGTTTTTGTTTCGTTTTCTTTTAATCTATTTAAGCTTTGTTCACAGTTTAGGCTTCCTCGACGACCACATTGCCAGTAGTGACAAAGGTCGGTGTCCTCATCGATGACAACAAGTGCTTTTCCCTTTATCTGGCAGTCGCTATTTTAGCAGGATTATTGTTTATAGTATTCATAATCCTTGCTGTGGTTTTGAAC